ACCTCCAGACCAACCCAGGAAATTTAGCAATACCTTGTCTGAAAATTTTAAAAAATAATTAAGAAGCACTGGCCATGTAGTTCAGTGAGAAGGCCCTGAGTTCAATCCCCAGTATAAAACAAAAAAGAACCATTAACAAAATGAAAAGACAAGACACACTGGGAAAAACTTGATACAAAGCATGTATCTGCTAAAGAAATCTCATATCAAGCACAGTCTAGAAAACTCACCAATAACAGAACAATCTGATACAAAATGCCCAAAAGATCTGGGCATAGTGTTGTACACTTACAATCCCAGCACTGAGGGGAACTGAGGCAGCAAGTTGCAAGTTTGTGTCCCAACTGGGCAACCTAGTGAGACCTTGTCTCAAAATGAAAAGGGCTGGGAATTTAGCTCAGTGGTAGACTACCACTGGGTATGATCCCCAGTAATGGGGGGGGGGGGAATATATATATATATATATCCAAGACATGGGCTGGGGATGTAGCTCAGTGATAGAGTGCTTGTCTAGCATGTGTGAAGGCCGTGGGTGTGATCCAGTACCACCAAAATAAAATGTACAAGAGATCTAAACAGTGTCAAAGAAGATATTTAGGTGGCAAATAAGCACATGAAAATAAACTCAAACCATTAATCATCAAGGAAATTCAGATCAAAACTACAATTATACACTATTACATACCTATATAGAATAGCTAATGTCAAAAAACTAACAATACTAAGTGCTACCATTTGACAGGAATGTCAAACGGTAGAGCCACTTTGAAAAACAGTTTAGCAGTTTCTTAGAATGTTAAACATATGTTTACCATGCATCCCAGCAATCCAACTCTAGGTAGTTACTGAGGAGAAATGAAAACACAAATATTTACAGTAGCTTTATTCATAATCATCCAAAACTGAAAAGAATCCAAGTACTCTTCAACTGGAGAATGAATAAACAGTACATACACACAATGGAGTCTAACCACTGCCGAGGGTGGTGGCACACACCTTTAATAACAGATACTGGGAGGCTGGGAAAAGAGGACTGAAAGCTTGAGCCCAGTCTGGACTATTTAGACAGATTCTGTCTTAAAATAAAATGGATTGGGGGTGTAGCTCAGCACGCTCTGGGTTCGATCCCCAGTACCATTACAAAAATAAAATAAAAAATAATTTGTATTAATACACTCAATATGGATAAATCACAATGTATTGTTAGAAGTTATTCTCAAAAAGTTACATATTATACAGTCCTACTTATATGACACTCTTCAAAAGACAGACGATAAGAACAAAGACTAAATCAGTGATTGCCAGGGATTAGGTGTAGGGAATGATTTTCATTACAAAGTAGCAGGAATGAATTTGGTAATGGATGGCTAATAGAACAGTTCTGTACATTGACTGCGGTGGTGCTTCTATGAATTTATGCATTAAACCTTACAAAACTGTATGCCAGAGTGAATTTTACTCTAAAGTAAATTTCAAAAATAGAAGTTTAAAAATTTGGGCTGGGTTGGGTGGCTGAGGCAGGAGCATCGCTGTGCATTGTAGGCCAGCCTGGACTACAGAGTGAGTTCAAACCTAGCCTGAATTACATGGTGAAACCCTGTCTCAAAAAAACAAAATAATTGGGCTGGGATTGTAGCTCAGTGATAGAATACTTGCCTAGCATATGCAGGCCCTGGATTCAGATCCAGTGCTGAAAAAATTAAAACAAAACAAAAAAAAAGTTTTAAAATGCTATAAAATAACCCTATAAACTGCATGATTCTGATTACATGTGTCCATGCTACAGCAAAACCACAGAGGCAGAACACAGATCAGTGGTTGCCAGCATCTGAGGACAGGAAGTAGGGGTTCACTATAAAGGAGACAAGTTCTTATATTAGCATGAATACTTTAGTTCTCCTGTTTGACACTGGTCAAATTTATGATCCTGTATTGCTTATTACTCATGCAGATACTTCTATTTCTAGTACTTACTAACCAGCACTACTTAGGCATACTAGAAAATATTTTAAGCATTAAATTACAAAATTCCTATGGTTAGTGCACACCTACAATCCCAGCACCTGGAAGGCTAAGGCAGGAAGATTGCCACGAGTTTGAGGCCAGCTTAGGCTACATAGTGAGTTCAAGTCCAGCGTGAACTAGAGTGAGACCCCTGCCACGAACCAGCATGGCTATGGGTGGTCCCGGGGAAAATGGCAAGGGGATTTAGAAAATAGACAAGAGAGGAAAGCTGAGGTCAAGTGGAGGCCTCTTTTCAGATGGGAAAAAAAGACGACAATCACTGTCAGGGCATTTATTTCTACACTCAGGAGGCTGATGTAACTTCAACCTCTCTGCCTAGCAACCAGCTTGCAAGCTGGAACAGCTTGTTCACATGGTTTGAGGAGCTCCCCGTTCTCCAGCCGGCTTTGTCTTAGCACCACACGTATGATTGCTTTCCAGCTTCAGACACTCCCAAGACCCAGTTGCAAGGGGTGGGGGGCACTAGCTATCTTCAAGCACATTATCTACCAGGAGAGTTGGTAATGAGTGAAAAGTACATTGGACCGCATTTAAGTAGACTATGATAACCTAGGAGAAACAGCCTGTCAACATTCTGAGCTTTTTATTTTTCATGAGAACAATCCTTTATTGGCATAATGGTATTGAGGTTAAAGGATTATCGATTTCCAAAGGGTAATCGATTTCCAAAGCTTGGTGCAGTTTACATTTAATCAGTACAATTCTCTCCTTTGGCTCCCCCTCAACACAGAAATGGTCTGCACTTGCTGGCCTGAATAGCTTATAACTAATGACTTTCTAATCCTGGTCACATATTTTCCCTCTTAGGATATACTTAGGTAAATTAGGGGCTGCCAGCTGAAGAGGCAGAAGCAAAGGCAAAGGCAAGATAAAAGTGTACCCATGAGTCCAAGGATGGTGTGGAAGTTTGGTAGGTTGCAGACTGAAGTCATATAACGCCAAGCCCCTTCAAAAAGTGTCATCTCAGATTAGAGTGCAGAAAACTGCAATTATGTACAGAAAGCAAATTACCTAAAGCAAGACTATTTCAGTTGTAATCATCTCTCCCAGTCCTTTTCTGAGGGCTTGCTACAGTTTGGATCTTAAATGACCCCTAAAGGCCCATGTGTTAGTCTTGGTCACAGCATGGCACTATTAGGAGGTAGAGAGAACTTTCCGTTACTAGGCATAATATGCTCAAAAAGGACTGTGGAACCTCAGACCGTTTCTGCTTCCTGGCCACAAGGTAAGCGGTTTTGGGCCACTACAAGCTCCCACCATATGCTGTCTTGCTACAGAACCACAGCAATAGGGCCAATCCATCATGGACTGTAACTTCTAAAACCGTAACCCTGTTTTGAAATTTTGTTCACTTTTTCTTTAAAATTATTAAAAATAAAACTATAACCCCAAATCTTTTTATCTCAGGTATTGTTATACTGATGGAAAGTGCTTGGGCCCACTGCCTTTGTCTGATGGGGCAGGTGCTCCCCAGACGTGGCAGCTAACTGTATTTTACTGTGTTGTAGTCATGGTTTGCAAGGGAAAGGAATTAATACAGAACACATAATTTGGGCTGGGGATTTAGCTCAGTGGCACAGTGCCTGCCTGGCAAGTGCAAGGTTGTGAGTTCGATTCCCAGTACCGGAAAAATAAACAAACAAAAAGGAACACATAATTTATAGGATTATTTTATAACATTCACCCAGAGAGTCAAATGCAAGAATGCAGGAAATCCACCCACATACTAGAGACCCAAAGAATCTGAGGGCCCGGATTCCACAGCAATGTCCCGCACAAGTCCAGCTGAAGACCTACAGCCCAGAACAATGTCTCATGCAAGTCTGTATCAGGACCTGCACTGACAAGGCCCAGAGGTCAGTGGTGGAAGCTAGGAAGTCTGTGCCAGTGGAATGAAGGATCTGGGCCAGCAGACTGAGAGATCTGCACTGGAGCCAGGAAGTTACAAGGAACCAGAGCACCCCCCAAAAGAACCACAGCCATCCTCAGTGACAGTGAGGTCCTGAGTTCCTCTGATTATAACAGCCGAGTTCTTATCAGGAAAGCTAGCATGACAAGCTTCTCCAGGAGAATCAACAGCTCAAGCTCTTCCTCTCCCGTTCTCATGTTCTTGGCAACAATCCTCAGGTGGGCCTTCCACACCCAGCACCACGCTAAATTTAGTTCAGCTGGGTGTTTCAAGTTGACCACCAGTTGTCAATCCACCATACATTGGAAAAGGAGTTGGCTGGTATATCTCCAAATACATTTCTCTGGAAGACAGTTGGTCAAGACAAAGACACACAGGGGCCGGGGATATAGCTCAGTGGCGTAAGCGCCTGCCAGGCAAATGCAAGGTCCTGAGTTCGATTCCCAGTACAAAAAAAAAAAAAGTCACACACACACACAAGGGGTCCCTCCAAATTCACAGAAATGCAAAGACAGGACTTGCCCCTAAAACAGCTACCCTACCAATTAATGCCTTGTTTTCTCTTCATGCAAACATGGTAGCTCCTACCACACTTCAGCACCACATACGCCTGTCCTCTTCTTTCCATTATCCTATCTCCAGTCCCTCCCCAAAACAGAAATCTCATCGTTCTTCCCTCTGCCACCCAGTGAGGACCTGTGGACTTGAAAGACGCATGGCCAGGAATCCACTACAGGAATGCTTTGGTGCTGAGATCTCTTATACAGGGGTAAGAAACCATCCTCCCAAGAACCATCACGTCTATCAGCATTCCATCATCTAGTTGTACATTCAGTTGTCCCAGAGGGTTTGTTGGAAATCAGCCCTCAGATCAGCCCAAAATACATGGCAGAACACCAGAATTGAGGGTGGGAGATAAAACTGTTAGCACCTGGGCTCTATTGGTATTTTGTCTCTCAAAAAACACAGTAAATAGGGATTAAATAGAAGGTATTAGACTTAGTGGCTCCGGCTCTTTTTTTTTTAACTGGAGAGAATAGAGGAAACAGTGAAGGGAGAGGACACGTGGTATGCAAGAGGTTCTTTTATTATACAGGTGCTTCAGAGACTCAAACTCCATCTGTATTCTCTCATCCCACAGGAACCAGGGCTTAGAGAAGAGGGTGAGATCATCGGATTAGTCACCAGCACTGCTATCACCATTGCCAGAAAGGTCGAGGACTGACATCATGCAATCAGACAGCTTGGTGGCAATTTTATCTGTAAATGGAAAAATACAATCTTTTGCTAACTGGATCGGCGACAGAAGGATGCCAGTGGTAGTGTATAGCTACCTTTGTCAGTACCACGTCCCCATACTGACTCGTTTACTCTCCAAACACTAAACAGAACAAATGGTGGTAGATCCGCTTGTCTGTGACCACCCCAACACAGGTTCTACCCCAGGTTTTACTCATGTTGCTCCGAGTATTTCTGTCCCTTCCAAATACCACAACAATAAATTTCTGCTACTGTGTTGAACGTAGTACTCCACCATTACCCTCAAAACAAAGCCCTCACAGTGAAGGGGCAACACAGCAGTAGTTTTGAACATAATGTTCAACACTTGTATCACCCTGCTGTTCCTCTGGATTCCCTCAGTTTACCTCCTCCAAGAAAACTTCTCTGATTACCTCTATCTAACCACCATTCCAGGCTGTTTTAGGTTTCTTCTCAGTGCTTGCTGTGTCTTTCAGAGTGATTGCTCTCTTCTATCAATATCTGTTCTGTCTTCTCCCCACTCCCTAATAAGAGTAGTTCAAGAGTTATCTCTGGATTCCCAGGAGTCAGTTTGGAGCCAGTCCAAGGGTGACTAATTGTGAAATATGTAATAGTTTCGGGTTGACAGGGTCAAGCAATCCTACTATAGAGGTATTTGCTTGTGTGTATCTCTCAGGAAAGAGATACAAGAAACTGGTTTCCTTGGAGGGAGGACTAGTCAATGGGAGATTTCACTGTACCTCCTTTAGGATTCTGAGGTTACTGCCTACTGATAAAGTAAGAGTTAGGCATAGTAGCACATGCCTATAATCCCAGTACTCTAGGAGGCTAAGACAGAAGAATTACAAGTTCAAGCCCACGCTGGGCAACTTTTCAAGACCCTATCTCAAAGCTTTAAAAAGGACTGGGAATGTAGCTTAGTGCAAAGGCTATGGGTTCAATCCACAGCACCATCAAAAAAAAAAAAAAAAAAAAAAAAAAAAAAAAAACACCTGAAAAATGTGGCTATATGACACACAGACTAGGGAGTGGTTATTTAAGTGTGTTCCTCAGATCAACAGCAGCTCAGGCCCCACAGCTGACCTCAATTAGAAACTCTAGTTAAGAGAAACTCCAGTTAACAGACCAGGAATCTATGCTTTTAACAACCTTTCAAATGATTCTGATGAAAGCTGAAGTTTGAGAACCACTGTGCTAGTAGCTATGCCTCCTCACCCATCCTGGCCGCCCAATCCTATATATGGAAGATGTTAATCTGGAGCTCCTAACCCAGGCAGTCCCTTTTCAGAGCACATCGGTAGTCAGGGACCCCCACCTGTACGCTTCTGCATCTTCTTCTTATTCTTCAGGGCGGATGCCAGAGCCTGGCCCTGTTGCAAGGGGTCTGTCTCCATAATCCTCTGCAGAACTGGGCGACGGTCCACTGAGTTGACCTCTACCATGCTACTGTTCTTGGGGCAGTGGGGGTCCACACTGCGTTTAGCCCACCCCACCTGATAATGGCTTGGACTGGTGCAATACCCAGGGAGGTCTCCACTCTGGGGAGAGAAAGAGGATAATGGTGAGGTCTTGACCTCAAGAAGACCTCCAAAAACTTCTGCAGAGGAGGCAAGTACAGGCTTGGTTAAGAAGAAGGAACCTGTAGCCATGCAGAACTAGGATCCAGTTCTGGCCCAGCTACATACTAGCAGTTACTTAGCCTCTCAGCCTCAGTTTGCTCATCTGTCAAATGAGGGTAGACAACTGGTAGCATGCATGGCTTTTACAAAATTTAAAAGGACAAAGTAGGGTTACTTGATCAATAACAACTGGTACTACAGTAGTTCTTTGTTTAAGTGATCCTTCAAGGCCTAACTCAATCTAACAAACATTTTCTGACATTGATTTTGTGCCAACCTATGTGAGCCAGTGAGACAGAAATGAGTCAGACTGAGTTCCACCTTCAGGAAGCAACCAGACTGAAGAGGATAAAGAGCTGGATGGAGTGGTACACAACTGTAATCTCAGCAGAGGAGAGGCTGAAGCAGGAGGGTGGCCTTGAGTTTGAAACCAGCCTGGGCCACAGAGTGAGTTCAATACAGAGTAAAAGCCTGTCTCAAAAAATAAAATAAAATAAAAAAGGATACCAATCTAGCTCACAAGTTAGAATACGGTCTCTGCCCAATAGGGACATAAATGATGAGTGACTAAGAGGTTAGGGGCAGTGATGGTGGTCAACATACCACTAATGGGGAGGGTCATCCTTGACTGAACACTGCAAAAAAATAAGCATTGCTGGGCATCAAAAAGGGTGTCTGGCAGGAATGAAAGTGTATGTGAGCAGTAAAAACCAGTATTAACAAAAAACTTACAGTGTGCCAAGTACCATTCTAAACATATACGTGTTTGGTATATGTGTGCATACATACATAGGCATACACATATACATAGGCACATATGGAGTAATGTGCCACACAAAGATGGTCAAGGAACAATAGGCCACATGAACAATGGCAGTCCCATGAGATTACACTGCCTGTCATATACGCAACTTAGTTTGTGTAAGCACTCTAGGATATTTACACAATGATGAAACTGCCTGATGATGCACTTTCAGAACACAACCCTGTTGCTAAACATCACGTGACTGTATTAAATCCTTTGTATGTATTAATCAATTTAATCCTTGTTAACAAAGCTAACAAGGACCCTAGGTTCACTAAGTAGTAAACAGCAAAGTAGTAAAAACCTAATGAGTGTGGCTCCTGAGCCCATGCACATAGCGTGATGTGGCAGGTCTAAGCAAAGCTACATATTTTAATCATTCTGGGTCTGGGAGCAGGGGCACCATTCATAATAATGTATAACAAAAAAGGTGTCTCCTGGAGATGGGTGATGAGGTGGTCCTATTGGGAACCCTAAACTGAGTCTGGAAACTGTGGTATAGAAAGGGGAACTATTTACAGGGTTCTGAAGAAAAGTTACATGTCTGGAATATCATAGGCTCAGTGAAAAGTATCATTGAGGGAGGTGGCCTTAAACACAACTCTATACTGATTTTTCTTTTAAGCAACAGGGAAGCCTCTGAAACTATGTGAGGACCTGCCACTGTCCAATTCAGCCCTTGTTTTTTCTTAAGAAGGCCTTCAAAGCGCAGCATGCCTGTTCTCCCAACACTCTAGGAGGCAAAGCCAAAAGGATCCCAAGTTCCAGCCCAGTCTGTGCAGTTTGGTGACTCATGAGATCCTGTATCTAACTAACTAACTAAGGCTAGGGATGTAGCTCAGTGCAAAGGCGCTGGGTTCAAAACCTCTTCCAGATATTACGTAGTCATGAAAAAATAAAAAACAGTTCTAGAAGTAATCAGGTGGAACAATCTCCAAGATCAATCTGTAAGTGAAATAAACAAGGTGAGAATAATATGAACAGCATGGAACAATTTGAATGAAAACAGTTATCTGTAGATGTTTGCATGTATATATAAATACTAACTAACTCTGAAAGGAAATGTAGAGGTCTGCTGACATTGACTGACTCTAAGGAAGGGACAGGGTGGATGGGAGACTGAAGGAGAAAAACTTCTTTTCTCTGCATACCCTTTAGTACCTTTTAAATTTTAAGCCATGTTTATGTATTACCTAGAAAATAAGAAAAAATTTTAATAAGCAAAATGGGGGAAGAAAACCTTTGATTCAGGAAAAAAAAACAATAAAAAAATAAACCAACTTTCAGTGTTTTCCTATTTTATGGTTTCAAGTCAAACTCAAGGCCATCTGTGATCTGAGTCCACCACACTCATCTTCCCCACCTCCCACCTCCCATTCGAGCTACCTCACACCACTAGCAAATTCCTCATTAATACCACACACACTCTCTGAGGCCTCATCATGAGCACAGGCTGAGTCCCTGCCCAGAGAACTCAGCCTTTAAGATGTGGCTCAAACAAGACTTCCCTGATCCACAAGTGATACCGGTTAGGGCTCTTAGATCCCTGCTATCCCAACCTCTGCAACCACCCACCACCCACCAGTATCCCATATCTCTATCATAGTGTAGATGTCTATGTCTGATATCTACTAAAATGTGCACTTTTGAATGGCACAAATGGGGGAATTAGCAGCAGAGGCTGGAGAGAAAAAAAAAAAAAACCCTGGAGTCAGTCATATCACGGCAGGCAGATCTTATATAACAGGTGTCAGGCATATAGACTTGATCCTGTAGGTGGTGGGGAGCCACGACAGGATTCTCACCAGGGGAGGTAACATGCTAAGATTGGACCTTGGAAACCATGGGACATACGTCCAAGTGAGTTAAGGATTACAAGCTTATTCTAGGGTTGGAAATTCACAGCTTCTTGGGAGATTTAAGAGGAAAAAGCCACGGGATTTCTTGACTGACAGTAGATGGCAGTGGTGGCGAACCTATGGCATGGGAGTTGTTTTTCTTTTAAGACAAAAGATGTTAATGTGTGAGTTCTTTTCTCCAAACTAAAACTGTAGTATTCAGGTTTAACTGCAATGTTGGCACTTTGCAAACAATAAGAGGGTTTGGGGTTGCAGTTTGGGCACTCCTCTCTGAAAGTTTCATCATCACTTATGGTATATGGAATCTTAGATACTAGTTAAGGGAAGAAGAGTAAGTAGTTTGCAACTTGAACTGGACGACTAGGTAGTGATACTTGTTCTATGCTGGAATCAGGGCTGAGAAACCTGCCTAAGAGATCATACTTCCTCCTTGGACCTGTCCTTGTTTGGAAAAGGACGTATCAGGCCCAGGCATCCAGGAGCTCACAGTGTGAACCACTCATTGCCTGTGTCAATTTGGGAGAAGGGACTGACCACTTGTCAGAGCCCTGGGTAGATGAGAGAGTTACCATTAAGAATGTAGATAGGTACCTGATAGATGGTAGTTTTATTTTCAGCGGCATCTGGTATTTTCTTCACTGGAGAATGCAGCTTCTTGATCTCCACTTCAAGTGGTTCTATGTCACCCGAGAGCTCATCAGCCTCTCCTGTGGCCAAGCCTTTAATACAACCAACACGGTCAGGGCCCTGTTTCCTCCCTGCTGCCACCTCCCTGGTCAGGGAAGATAGGACATGTGGGTGCTGTCCAGGGGACAGTCAGCGGGAAGGTGGCTTTTTCTTCTTGCTGAAAGGCTAGCAAAAGATTAAAACATGAGTTTTGTAACTAGACACTTGCCTGCTGGGAATCAACCTTGGAGCCTTAGCTTGCTCATCTGGAAAATGAGAATTCCACAATACATATTCACACAGGGCAGGTGTGCGACACGGCAGAGGACACCTCTAATGCTCTGGCCTGACTCTGATACTGCTCTGCAAACGGAAACCACTGGGAATCTCTCCCTAGGGTCAGGATAAAGATCAGGACTCTTCTTCCCTCTGGCCCGTGCCTAGAGCTGGCCTCCACTACAACCCTCAGATGTGCCCAATGCCTTGTGCCCACACTATCCTCACACCTGCCTCTACAACTTTGTCCCCATCCCCTTTCCCTGAGCCTCCTAATCCCTACTCACCCTTTGAAGTCCAGCACTAGGACCAACTTCTACAGAAATCCTTCACCACTAACCTCTTTCCCAACCTGCTCCTCAATTTCCCAGGGCTCTATCTTTTCCCAAATTGCATTCTCAACTATAGCCAAGGTCAAGCATCATTTTAAGAACAGGAGCTCCAATCCTTCCAACTGCCCATTTGATAGAAGTAGAAACTAAAGGTCAGAAAGAAGGCTGACATCCCTGAAGCCATATGCGAATAAACTAGGAAGCAGGTAAGTCCTCATCTATAATCCAAGGACACTAGAAGACCCAGAGAAGGAAAACAATGGCCCTCAAGAGAAAGACACCAGTGCCGGGCATGGTGGCGCATGCCTGTAATCCCAGCACTAGGGAGGCTGAGGCAGGAGGATTGTTCTGAGTTCGAGACCAGCCTGGGCTACAAAGTGAGCTCAAGGCCAGCCTGAACAGCATATCGAGACCCTGTCTCAAAAAGACAAAAAAAAAAAAAAGAGAGAAAGACACCAGAATCCAGTCCAGCTTGGACTTTCTTAACTACCCCAGAGTACCTACAAATGGAGTAAGAGAGCACTGGGTACTTTGCATGGGCAGGACAGCAAAAGAAGCAGGAGCTATAAGCCAGGACTGTGGAACAGTATCTGAGGAAACTTTTTCATCTCTTCTATATATCTCAGCAAATAATGATCTTAGTAACAACCAACGTTTACTGAGCATTTATTTACTATATGTCAGGCACTGTTACTCTATGTGTCTTTTACTATTCTTTTTTTCCTTTTTTGGTGCTAAAGATCAAACCCAGGTCCTTACACATGCTATACACAAGCTCCAAAACTAAGCTACAACTTTTGCCTCTCATTATGGCTTGTATCTAGATGCCCCCCACTAAGGCCTCATGAGGTCACAGATGAAGTTTCTTGGAGGCGACTAGATCTAGGATGTGTGATGCTGGGATTAAGGGTGCCCTCACCCTGGGTGTGTTACTCGCCCTAAAGGCAAGTAGCCTGGATGGAATATAAGGGACAGAAAGAGGGCTCTTGTGGTCTCTTGCTGCCTTCTGCCTTCCCTGCTTTACCATAGACAGTTTCTCCTCTGCAATGCCCCTCTGCCATGCTACCCTGGCTTGGAGTCTGCCAACTACGGACTGAAACACCTCTACAAATTGTAACCTACAATAAAGCTTTCCTTCTTCAATTTTAGGAGTCATGTATTTTGTCTCATCAATGAGAAAAGTAACTAAGACACCTACCTCTCTTACATATCAAACAAATCCTCACAATTACCCAATCAAGTAGGTACTATCATATCCATTTTCCAGATGACATCATTAAGACAGGGAGAAGTGAAATAACTTGTTCAGCATCACAAACCCCATAAGGAACAAAGCTTAGATTCAAATGTAAGCAGCCCATACTTTTTACCACCTTGCTATTCTAAGCTACAAGTTTTAGACGACAGGGCAGGAGAGTTGGTTCCAAAGCCATTGCTCCCCACCACTGACTAGGTGGTTGGTATCACATGTGGCAAATATCATGGTTTTTATTTACATACTTCACAGGCCAATGGGGATAAGAAGGAAAATCTAGGAATGCATTTGAAAGGGCTATGAAAAAGCCTAGCATAACATTAGAAAAAGGGTTTCTGAAAGGAGCACTTCAATCCACTCCAGGTTCCCAAAGATAGGGATAGAGCCTCATACTTCCAAAGAAGTGTCCCAGATACTTTGCAGATTGTTTTCATATCTACCAAAAGCTCAAAACCATCGTCACTACCACCCTCATGGCCCAGATTAGAATTCTCTACCTTGAAGAAGAATTAAGCTTAGAGTTGGTTAAACTTGTCCAAAGCCCAAGCAGAGTGTCCCCCTAAAGCCTCAAGTGCTCACAGGTAGGGCTTTGGGGAGGGGACTAGATAATGGCAGTGTGGTATTCACCAGTGAATTAATCCACTGATGATATATAGCTAAATATATTTGGGAGGTAAACCCTGGTTGGGGGAGGTGGGTGATGGGGCGTGACTCAAAAGGGCGTATCTCCTTCCCTCCTTCCCTGGTCTCTCTCTCTCTCTTCTTGCCACCATACCATGAGCTATTTCTCCTCTGCCATAAGGCCCTGCCTTGGAGCCAGGCTATGGACTGAAACCGCTACAAAGTATGAGCCAAAATAAAGCTCTCCCCATTTAAGTTGTGTCAGGTATTGTGTCCTAGTGATAAGAAAGTGACCAAGACATAGGGTCAGGGAAGGGGAGACCAAATGTGGGATTCACCATCAGGTCAGATCTGTATGGCTCCGCTAGGACAAGACCAGGTATACCTACCCGTCCACACTTACATTCCATGGTGTCTTCATTGGCCTGCTCAGTATCCTCAATGTCAAAGACCTCAGTCATCTCCTTAACAATCTCAGCACTGAGATGGGCAGGCAGAGTGTGTGTGGGTGGTGGTGGTATATAGAAGCTGATCTTCCCACTGCATTGGGAGGTAGTGGAACATAGTGGTGACATCATTGAAAGAACAAATGACCAATCCAAAAAAGGATGAGTTGGTAAGCAAGAAATGGTAAGGAACAAAAAATCTCAAATAAGGGGAAGGGGACATAACAAGAAGTAAGATGTACATGGACCAACTCCCCATGGTTAACATAATCATTACGTATGGCAAACATGTACTAATAAAAATTCAAATTTAAAAAAACCTCAAGACAGTGGCTCTAAACAATGGACTGAGTTACTGGAGATTGAAGTAAGACACGCACTGGTACCTTGACTGTCCCCCACCCTGGGACCAAGGAAGTCAGTCTGCCCTACCAGTTGCAAAGAACACAGACAGGTATACCCTTGCAGAGCCAGACCTTCCAGCTAGCCTCATGCTCAGCCTCCTCCTTACCTCACCCAGTCAGCCAGGACAGCTTTGGCAGCCTGTTCTAGACTATATAAGCCTCCCTTTTTCTTCTTTCCCAAGCGCTGGGCCACTGCAGTCAGAAAGTGCTCAGTGGTCTGGAACCCAGACACGCCGTAATAGTTAGAAATCTGATGAAGAGAGGAAGAGAAGTCATGAGGAATAAAGGGCCTTCGGAGTTGGGTAGGGCACCCACCAAGGGCTCTGGTTTCTACCTCCTCCAGATTGCAGTGCTGCAAAATAGTCTCCACAGGGGTCACAGGGTCTACCAGCTTCTGCACATGGATGCAGTTGCGCAGGATGGTGCCCACGTCTGAGTTGGGTCCTGGGACAATGCCCGGGGCATCCAGCAGCCTGATAAACTTGTCCAAGTAGACCTCCTGCGTGACTCTGGGGCAGGAGAAAAGAAAGAAGGCCTGGATGTGTCTGGCATCTAGTCACAAAAGCTAGACCTAGAGAGGATGGGAGGAGGTAAAAGCGCGGATAGTATATTACAGGTGAGGTAGACAGGTGAGGATCAGGAGGTTCTGGGACCCTATAGACATAGGGCTGATTCTAGAATCTAGCCTCCGCCACTGGGGAGTGAGGTGTAGGACCTTAAGCAAGCTTCTGACTCTCTGCACTTCAGCTGCTTCCTTTAGGCAATGAAGCTGCTCACAAGTAGCCCAATCTTACATAGTTACTAGAAGGCTTCAAGGAGTTAACAAGGAAAAGCCAGGATGGCACCTGACGCACACCTAGGGTACGCCAGGTAAATGAGCGTTCTTAGTGAACTCCCATGCCCAAGGAAAGAATCAGATGGCCCCATATTAGGAAAGGGACAGGTGCTAAGGTGTGGGAGTTAGGAGTGATAGTAGGAGGTGTCAAGGAGTTGTGCATTGCTTACTTAGTGACCCCAGGAACAGCTCCCACACTGCACGCACGGCTGCGCTTCAGGCTATTGATGAGGCTACTCTTCCCAACATTGGGAAGTCCTGCAAAGTAGCAGCAGATGACTCAAAACAGCAAGGGTACTCAGGAACATTTAGGCCAGCCTGTATGGAGACAGCCCTGGCAGGGGCAGTGACCAGGCCATGGAGAGCCAGAAATAAGGGCTGGCCTCCTATCTTCCCACCCTAGACCCTGGTCAAGACTCTAGGGCCTTTCTACTTCTCTCTTTTTCTGGACATGCTGGGTTGACATGTCCTTCCCTCTAGATGTGATACCCACCTCCTACCCACAACCAACCTAGAGAGGTGTTCAATGCAAGGCCTTGTAGATAAGATCCACTAGAAAGTGGAAATCAAGAAAAGTCTATGTAACAGAAGACTATCTATTCTGGTGTGTGATTCCCCTTGGGAGAGGGTTCATCTCCAGGTGCCAGTCTGTCTCCATGCAGCTTGTCTTTTCTGTGGTATGCTTTTGTATTTGGATACCTGTGAGCTGCACTTGGCCTAAGGATGTCTTCGTGTGCTTCTCTCTCACTGAATCATTCTACCTCTTCTCTGCCCACATGTGCTCAAATTGACACGTGTGCCTCTTTCACCTATGTGCCATGGAGTACCCAGGGTATCTTAAAGGCTTTCTACACCTCTCTGTGTGCCTGTTGATCATTCTCATTCTACATGTAACTGCTCTCTTTTTTTCTCTCTCACTGAGCCTATTTCTCTAGCATCTCTTTATCTCTCTCTCTAGGTCTGTATCTAAACATCTGCCTGTGACCATTGTCTTTTTTCTCCGATTCTCTCCACCTCACCAACGCTTCGTCTCTTTGTGATTCCCTGTATGCTAACTCCTGCCGATCTCTTTCTGACCACATTCCTCCTCTTTGCAGGCTTGTCTGTGCGTACATCCCCTATATGTTTCACTGTCTCTTTTTCTGACTCCCTACTCCTCTTTCTCTACTTCTCTACACATACATATATACATCTGCCTCAGGACAAGGTATGTCTGTTTGTTTCTCTCTGTAACTCCAGTTTATTAGAGTCATGGTGCATCTGGGTACATGTGTGTCGCCCTATGGCTCTATGTGCTTCGACACAGCAGAGCTGGGGTATGTGTAAGAAAGGTTTAGTCCACATACATTTTGCTTGAGTCTGTATATCCAGATATGCTTCCTCTGGGTCTGTGTGTGTTGTTCTGTATGTAACGCTACATCTCTCTATCCCCGTATGTATGATCTTTTAGGGGGTATGTATGCATGCACATCAATACAGACCAGGTGTCTCAATCCTTCTGGCGTCGCCCTCTGCCGGTCTCTATACACACGGATCAGTCTCTATGCCCTCCATTTGAGTGCACTCTCATTCTCATTCTCCCCTGTGTCG